CTTCACTGTAATGTCAAATTAAGATGAAGCCCCTGGAAAAGTTCCTGTTTACACCCCTGAATTTCTTCTTTCCAATGAAATCTGAAATATAGTATACTCTGAAATAAAACTGGAAACCTAGAGGAGTAATGCATCACGTAGGCTACAATCATTTTCTCAAGAACCAATAAACGCATTTATGTCATTATAATGGGTATTATTGAGTGCGAAAAAGTTTTTGTCGTGATTTTATTTGTTCTAGAACGTTATAATGAGGTGTGAAAATACTTTTATTTTGATCGAAAACAAACTAGAAAAATTTAAAATTACAGCAAAAACGTTTTTGCACGCATGATATCCCTTTCAATAATATATATAGTTTTATTCAATTAATTACTCAAAGTATTTAAAAGCAGGTTGATAAAGTTACTTAATCACCCTGTTGTAGGGTGATTAAGTAACTTTAACACCCTACAATGAGACAAAATTGGTATGAAATTTGAAATTTTAATAGCAGGGCGAAAAAGTTGCTTTTTCGCCCTGTTTTGGGGTGATAAAGTCACTTAATCACCCTACAACGGGAAATATTAGGTGTGATAAATTCCATCAAAATTGAATAAATAGATATTACGGTTATCTAAAACTCATCGATTATGATAATTTGTGAATTCAATTTAGGAAATTTATTTTTGTTCAATTTTATGATTAAATATTAATTTTTAAAATGATTAATAATCTTCAGAGAGTTTTTTCTATTCCTCTTTCAGACAACAACAAAAATCGAAGATTTCCATTGTTTATTTTTAGTCATAAAAGTATTTATAATGCTATCGTTATGTTTTCTACAAATAAGTTAACTATGAACGTCCTTGAAAACCTTGAAAATGAAAAAATGATAAATAAACAAATGTCGGTGTCAGCGTTTTTAGCTTTCTATCTGACGCAGTTCTGACGCAATTCAGTTTCTATGCAGCTTTTATGAACGAGATGAACAGGGTGCAGAAAATATAGTTCATCGCTTATTTACGTCACTAAAAATATTGTGTACTGATATGATTACTTTCAACATTTAATCATTACCCTCCGGATGTTTTGACGATCAAATTGGTCCTTGAATCCTGTAACATTAATTGAGAGTAATTACAAATGAGTAATGAGTATTGAGTAATTAGTTAGTAATTATAATGTTAAACCTTAATGGAGAGTAATTACGAATGAGTAATGAGTATTGAGTGATTAGTAAGTAATTATAATGTTAAAGCTTAATGGAAAGTAATTACAAATGATTAATGAGTAATGAGTAATTAGTAAGTAATTATAATGTTAAACCTTAATTAAGAGTAATTACAAATGAGTAATGAGTATTGAGTAATTAGTAAGTAATTGTAATGTTAAACCTTAATGGAGAGTAATTACAAATGAGTAATAAGTATTGAGTAATTAGTATGTAATTATAATGTTAAAGCTTAATGGAAAGTAATAACAAATGATTTATGAGTAATGAGTAATTAGTAAGTAATTATAATGTTAAACCCTAATGCAAAATTAAAAAGTTCCTTTCAGACAATTTTTCACTAAAATCATTGGAATTTTTCCACAAAAATAAAAAGTTCAAGTACAGCTAATATGCAATAAAAATTAAAGCCTGCAAGTGCAAGCTTAATTCATTCAAGATTAAAGTTTAAGTATGAACTAAAAGCATCAAAAACTAATTCCAAGTATCAACTATCCATATAGAAGTGCAAAGTGCAAACCTGTTTTTAAAAATAGATCAATATACCGAAGTTCAAAGTTCAATTATGAAATATGCATCAAGGCTTAAAGTTCAAGTATGTGCTGTACACTGTAGAGTCTATATCAAAGATTAAAGTTCAATTATGAAGTATTCATCTAGGCTTAAAGTCCAAGTATGTGCTGTACAGTCTATTTCAAAGATTAAGGTTCAATTATGAAGTATGCATCAAGGCTTAAAGTCCAAGTATGAACTGTACACTGTACAGTCTATATCAAAGATTAAAGTTCAATTATGAAGTATGCATCAAGACTTAAAGTCCAAGTATGAACTGTACAGTCTATATCAAAGATAAAAGTTCAATTATGAAGTATGCATCAAAGGCTTAAAGTCAAAGTATGAACTGTACAGTCTATATCAAAGATTAAAGTTCAATTATGAAGTATGCATCAAGGCTTAAAGTCCAAGTATGAACTGTACAGTCTATATCAAAGATTAAAGTTCCATTATGAAGTATGCATCAAGACTTAAACTCAAGTATGAACTGTGCAGTCTATATCAAAGATTAAAATTCAATCATGAAGTATGCATCAAGACTTAAAGTCAAGTATGAACTGTACAATCTATATCAAAGATTAAAGTACAAGTATGAAATATGCATCAAAGACTAAAGTCCAATTATAAATTATTCATCAAATATTAAAGCACAAGCATGAACGATGCAAAATAAAGCAAAGGACAAAATCATCCTAAACTTTGCATCAAAAATCATGTGTTCAGGCATATTTCCGAACTATGCATTAAAGTTTATGAGTGTTTAGGCATATTTTTCTCAACTCTGTAGAATAAATCATGTATCCAAGCGTACTACGCAGGCAGTCTACAGGGGTAAAAACTATAGAGCAAGGGGGGGGGTGTCAAATTGAAAACTTTTCCTTTTTTTAGAGAAGCAGAAAACTTTGCAATAATGCCCCCCCCCCACGCCTGTCACCTAGGTGCCCCTGGTAAAAGGCCAGGTTGACCCGAACTATCCTAGCTTCAGCTCAGTTATACACTTCAGGGGAAACAGATTAAGACTAAGGTATTTTTTATTTTCTTGTCATAATTAAGGTCTGATCAGATTTGTAACACAATTATTTTTTTAATTCTAAATAAACCAGAATGTTTTAATACATACAGTTGGACCCATAAAACTGTGAAATCGGAGGACGACTGTCAGACTAAGTTTTGATTGAAGAAAGACCTGCAAATGCAATAGCGCAGAACAAAAACAAAAGTTTAATGTTATTGATATAAAGCTGTAAAAATATACAGGTTTACCCACAAAGGACGAGACTTCAGAGACGACTGTACAGAATTTATACTGTCTCTTTCCTCACATTTCTGATTCTCTACAACTGAAAACTTGTGTCTTTCAGTACAAAATTATCAAAAAGGCCTTAAAATGACTATCTTGAAGGCAGATGACTTATCTTAACCTTGCAATTATCAAATTTAAAGAGATTTAGGTCGTCTTTACAGTCTCAACCTTTGTGGATAATCCTGTAGATTAAAAACAATAAAAAGTTATGGATAAAAAGTAAAATAAAATAAAAAACAACTGTCCAAGAGCTAAAAATTATATGTTTCTTAAAGAAAAATTTACTCAATACTCAATCTAAAATAACTAATCGTATTCAGTTATATGTTTCTGTAATGTCTCATCGTTCACAAACATTTTCTGTAGTTTTCCTGCAATTTTTATTGAAAAGACGATATTTTAAAGAATTGAATGAAATCCGCGAACAAATTTGTAAGGAAGAAGAAATTCAATATAATGATGAAAAATAATTAATAAATTATAACATTGATACGACAAATTTTTTTGAGAAATATGTTCCTAAACACCCAATTGGTTTATTTTAGAATGTTTGTTACATTTTTTGGCATTGTTATTGAATAATTAAAAAAACGATTCTTAAAAATTTAATTCTCCCGAATGAACAATGAAGGATGTAAAAATTGAACTTGCACCCTTGCTGAACAAATATGCACCGTAAAAAGGTGTGATAGGTCTCAAATTAATCCTACAAAATAGTCCACAATACAACATTCTCAGTTCAACTAATACATTGCCGATCACTCTCTTTAAAAAAATATAGCATCAGATTCAGATACTCAAAATCTTTAAATGGATGTTCTTAGAACAAAAAGATTTAAAACAATAACGAAAAAAAGAAAATATTTTTAAAAAATAGATTTTTTTCTCATCGGTCGAATTTTTGCTGCAGTTTCCCACTAGAATCATATGGTGTACCGTGTACTGTCCCGTGTTGACTTTTTTAGTCTGTACATGTACTGTACAGTTTGCTTTAGCTGCTTAAAAGTAGGCCCGGTTATTGAAATGAACCGGTGTTAACACTGAACCTCGACCTTTGTAAAGCTGAGCATCTGTAAACCAATGGATTGCCTGGACCAGTCTGCCTATGTTTGTTGCAGACCACATACTGGGTGCACTAGACGGGCTGGTACAATTATAAAGACTAAAACGCATCGGAGCATCATGCAACAAGAGTACCAGTGTGACGTCAATTCGTTTTGAATATCTCTACAGCAAACTCTGATCTATGGTCTATGTATTTCACATATACACAAAGACATCTGCAGCATAAAGGAATTAAGTCTTTGCTACAAACTCGGATTTTCTAATCCTTATTTCTTTGCAACCTAATGTTGTGTAGAGCTTTAAATAGTTCAAACCTTAAATTCTGTTGAATTAAATAATCTAAGTTTGAAAAAGTAAAAGTTTACAGTAGCTTGTTAATTGCAAAAAAAGTAATTAGACATTTTATATAGTTTGTGGCAAAGACTC